CCATAATTGCCTACATCCTGAAGTGACATGGCAATAAAAAAAAAATTCCAATATGCTTTTAAGTACTTGAATTTTCAATTTGAAACTAATTTTTTAATATTTAAAGGCAAAAGCTATATTGATATATATTAAATAAGTTTTTGAAAGCACCGAGGTCATAATAGGATTTATTAAAAGTTAACACTGAAAAATTTTATATTTGTTAAACTAATATATTAGTTAGACAAAAAAGGTTACAGCTTTATATATGCATACAAATTGCCTCTTTAATATCAACTTAAAAACAATTACAAACAGTTTGGCTTGAAAAAAGTATGTACTGATTTTTAGTTTCATTGCATCTTAAAAAAGAATAGGTAAACATTAATTTAACAATAGTACTTTAAATGACATGTGGGTTTTAAATGTTAGCTTTAAAATGTGTCAACATCAAGGTGATGAAAATGTTACCACCCATAGAATTAGAAATTAAATACTTCCTGTATAAGTAGATGAATAACTTGGTGAAATTAACTTTTGGATATGATCATTTCTAATAGTTCAACCATCATTAACCAAATTCTAATGGTAAACTTCTCCATGGGCTATGAATACATTGGCCTTCTGCATCAAATAAAAATGAATTGCACTGCAGTCTAGGAATTTGCATGAAGATGCAATGTTATCTTCATGTTGCACATCTTATCCTTACTGCTATGACCTACAGAAAAAGAAATTTGACATGTCGTAAAATTAACCAATCCAACTCAAAGAGCAGACGAGTTAAGTTAGACAGCAATCAATGCAGATATTTCTGGAATGAAAATACGAACAGGTGTGCGAAAGTTTCCAGTATTCTTCCTCGAAAACTAGAGACTGAAATCACTGTTCCTTTGCTGGAAATCTTTTCAAACATCAAGTAAATTTAACTTAGTAGTATGTAAACCAACATTCATAGGATACAACAACACTTTTCTTCATTCTTTGAAACACTGAATTATTCACGACTTTCCTTTCCACTGCATTGTTTTTCAAGGCTCCTCTACTTAATTTCAGTCATGGTCATTTTTTATTGCCATAGCAGGATATGACAACACAACTACCAAATTCAAATATGCTATCATTCATTCATCTGAGTCACTTGCAGTGGCAAGATAAAATTTTTGCTTTGCAAACAAAATCACCTCCAGAATGTTAAATGTTAAAGAACATTGGACATTCTATTCTTACATGGCCATTGGTTCAACTCAAACATAAATATTTCTAAAATTTCCAACATTTCATAAATTATGGGTGAATACAATTTACTCATTTTTGCAATGTAGATGCTTCTTGCACAATTCATAGTAGAAATTTTACTTTTATAACCAACCTGAGTTGACAAAAGCCAACTCTACTATTGGCATTAGAGCCATGTAAGACCATTTGTGTTCTACTTTTTTTTTTCTTTTCTTTACAATGATGTTCACCCTGTACAAGATCCATTCGAGGTAGAGGGGTATAGCGTAAAAGGTATCACTCCAAGTAAAGTGATAATGCCACTAAGAAGCAAGGAACCATCAAAAGTGAAATAGAAGGGAAAGACTTTAGAAGGAAATAGAAATCCAATCCTAAACAGGACACAAGGGATAAACCTCTACTCCTGTTCAAAAGCCCAGTGGGAATGATTGTGAAGTGGGCGATAGGCAAATCTATGTACTCCTACTTAAATTGATCATTTATTCTTGCATTCATGCTTATATATGCTATATTTTCCCTTCATATTCCTTTGGTAAGAGGGAAATTCCACTTCACCAGAAATGTCACAGTCTTCCAAGAAGATGCATCCCAGACTACCACAATCTTAACCTCTTAAGTTTAAGTTCAACTGTTATCGAGTCGATATATCCTTTTAATCTGTACCTCTTCCTTCTTCCCTTTGCACTCTTTCACTAACCCTCTACTTTAAGTGGCTCTTGACCTTTGTATTAGGTGAACATTAAAAAAACAAAATTTGGATTCAAAACTTGGCAGAATTAGAAGACTATATAGCTTTCATGAACATGAATCCTGGGGAACCACATCTGCATCCACAGCAAAATCAATGTTTCATGGGCAAAACAGCTTGATGGAGCCCAACCCTCTCCAGGCTGGTTTTGAATTCAAAGTTTTTTTTTTTTTCTCTTAGATCGGTTACCAACTAAAGCTATAGTGGTCAAACTGTCCTGCTATTTACCCACAGCTGGATAGAAGAGATGGATTCACACTTTTCTCAAGTGTACTAACATATGTAATGAACTCGACTAATTCAAACTTGGCTCTCCAATTCCTCAATCTGAGCCGCTATCCATTTCACTACCATCAACAAATATTACAATACAATATAGCTTTATCATGCAGTAAAAAATCTATCAAGACCATGAGAAAGATAATCAAATTTGGTTTTGCTTTATGACATTGAACAAAACCACTTTTGTCAATGTGTTTTCAAACTAGAATATTTATCAACTATCAGTAGACAGAAAGACTATACATTTCAGACAAACATCAACACTGCAGAGTTTTGCTTTGCTGCTACAGTTACAGATATGATAAAATATAAAAAACTACACTTGGTGTATTATATAGTAAAAGGTTTCTATATAATGTAAAACAGAAAATCTTTCAAACATGAAAATTTAACCCTACTAGAGACATTGAATAAATAATAATAACTAACAAAATATTTGGTCCCCCTCATTTCACACACACACACACACATATATATATATATATATATATATATATATATGTGTGTGTGTGTGTGTGTGTAATAAATTTATTCTAAAGTTATAACATAAATGTTATAAAATCACTACAAAAATAGCCATTTTGTTTCAACACTTCTGGTGTCTTATCAAGTGATGGTGTTGAATGTAGATTTGTTATATAAAAGGTTGGCAATTATCTCATTTCTTAATAGAGGACACTTCTGGTGATGCAGAAAAGAGTTATATAAGAGAAAAGATATATAAATTATTATATATCAAGAACAATTTTACGTAAACTATGACAAAGTAGAAAAACATTTTTGTGTGATGTGTTTCGTCCTTTAGGACTTCATGTTGATGTGACTACACACGTTCATGAAGGAGAGGGGATGCTGAGAATTTAAAATTTAATTTTGCTTGAATATAATGTTTTGAATATATAATCTAGCTGATTTCATTTAGTTTCTTTTTGTTCATGTTTCCATCTCTTTTGTTATTAAATATCACACATTGTAATAATAGAAGCTCTTTGAAGAATGGTGATTTGATGGATTCATCTTCTGTGGCTTATCAACCCTTATTTAAAGCCAGAAAACATTTTTAGATTGATACAAGTCTTACTAATTAACACATAGCTAGAGGGAGAAGAGGTGGATTCATACCTTTCCCAAGGGTCTGTAAGAATATAATGAACCCAATTGGAATTGGAACTTAACTTGCTAATTAAAAATTCTAAGCCATTATCTGTTAAACCACCTAAACATTCACATTTATAGCACCTGGTATTCTCAAGCAGTTACCCATCTAGGTACTGGCCAGGCTCAATGTTGCTTAACTTCAGTGATCATATAGAAGCAGTATTTCAGCATGATATGGGTATAAGCCTCAAGAAAGGTGAAATGTTTTAAGAACCTGGTCATCAACCGTAAATTTATGCCTGAGTTCTTAGAACATTTCACTTTTCCTATATACAACAAAAACTTATTTAAAAAAAAAAAAAAAAATTAAAATTCTGTTTCTTTCTCTATCATGCACATCAGCAAAATCGCTATTGTCTATTATATGAAGTCCTAAAGGACAAAACACAAAAACTTTTTCCACTTTGTCATAGTTTTCCTACATATATATATATATATATATATATATATAGCAATCTTCCATGCAAACAAAACAAACTACCATTGTTGCAATGTCTGCATAACCAATCTAAAACAAAAATTACCATCTTTATTATTTAATTTATTGTAATGTACTTGTAATCTCTGATGATGGCTTATGTAAGCCAAAAGCTTAGACAGGATTAACAATAAAAACATGTATCAACATAGTGATTTTCTTTCGTGTTTCAGTAATAATGCTAAAAAGCTTATTCGACGATATGAAAGGAATTTACTTAAAATAAATAGACAAAACTTGTTTATATTATTTAATGAAACATGCATTTATATATATATATATATATATATATATATATATATATATATGAATGAATGAAAATATTCTATTGTTTAATAAATGAATGATGTGAAATATCCAAAGTATGTAAGATGGAATATATAAAAACCAGTTGAATGTTGTTAATTTTTTATTTTGTTATTGATATTTTGCTCCTTTTATATGAGCATTATCAAACTGAAAATAATCAAAACTTCAAAAAGAAAATAAAAATTAAAAATATATAACTGGTTTTCAAGTATTCCATCTTATATATACATTATGTTTCATTATTAATTCATGAATTCAATAGTGTGATTGTAATTTAAGATTTAAATTTATTTAAAAAAAGACAAACTCCAAAACTCTGAAATATTGATTGTAAAAGAACTAAGTAGGTTTGGATGAGATTTATGTTCAAGATAAACGGATATAAATGGGTTAAAGTTCAAAATCTTTTCAAGGAATACTCTATGTATGATCATCATATAGCAAAAAATGTTCTTTTTTAAATCATGGAAAAAAAAATATTAAAATCTCTCCATAGATAAATCTTTGTTAATACAGTGTAATATAGAGCATGAAAATTAATAATGATTTTAAACAGAATATTCTAATTAATTCAGAAAAGAATGAATGCTGTTTATTTATCCTAAATAACTTGAGATTTCATTGCTTCTGTCAATTTTTTCTACAATTATTGTGTATTTTGTTTTCTGCAAATATTTGATGTGACATTAAAAAGACTTCCATCAATGTCTTTTCTGCAATACGTTTCTTTAAAATCCCATTTCCCAACATAAATGTGGAAAGAACAAGACATGCAGTGGAACTCTCTACCGTAAGAGGAGGAAATACCGGAGTCCATGCTGGAGTTGTGAGATGATCCATTTGGCAGTTGATGAGTGGAACCATTGACATTGACGTATGATGTTGAAGTGGTGGTGGTTGTTTCCACCTTGCGTTTGTTGACCGACGCATATAGGCTGCCGTCAATGGGACCTTCTGAGTGCGAAATCTCTTCAACTGTGGTTACGTTTGTACTTGCATTGTCGATACCATTGGCGTTGATGTCAGCTGTACAGGGACAACAAAGCAATCACATTCAAGACAAACAAACAAACAAACACACCAAAATGAAACCAAAAAATCCAACAACAAAACCCAAAGGAAAAAAATGGAAATAAATAAAAATAATTGACACAAACAAACGAACAAATTAATAGGACAAACCATAACAAAGCAAATTAACAATGAAGAACATGAATTCAATGAAAAGATATAAAAACAAAATGTCATCAAGTTTCTAATTCTACTGACGAGCTGTCAACTAAACATCTACCACAATTACAGCAGTTGTTTTATGAATTCAGTTAACATTTAAGATTCTTACAATACAAATTTGAGATCTGATGAAACAAAAAATATCTATTATATATATATATTATTAAATTATTATTTTCTGTTTTGTCTTATATTCTGGGGGTACTTTTTCTGGAAACTTTTCACAGCAGTCTATTATAACCTTTACTTTTCATGAAAAATGTTATAAATTTTTGACTAGCAATGCTTTCATTTCAGCTTTAGTTGCTTTTTATCACAACTATTCAGACTTATTCTACAGCTATCCGTAAACAGCAAGGATCAGAGATAAATAGTAATAGTATGAGTTAACCGTTTCCATACAGGAAACATTTGTCATTCACTGACCAAATAATAATACTAATGAATAAAATTTATCAAATCTTTGTCTTAAAACCTTTTTTCAAGTAAATAAGTTTCTCTGGTATTGATGGTGGTTTTCTTTCTAACCTTTTGTTTATGGTAATGTGGAAGGTTGACATCTTGATTATATTATTTTCCCTTCTAGTTGCATCCATTATCCATTTTAGTTGTTGCTGCTGATGGAAATCTTCAAGTGACATGTCTTTGTTTTATTTGGTAGAGTTCTTTGTCATTCTGTAGCGCCAGTCTAAAAGACCTGATGTAGGATTGTCTTCTTTTAGACCAAAAGGATACATTCACTAGAAGCCATACTTAACCACTGATCTGAGAAAATGTTTGTATACAGCTAAAAGCTTAGATATTCCTGAAGGCATTGGATGCCATGCATAACATCCATAAAAGAGTTTAGTTGCAATACAAATACAACTTGAGTTAAAATAAAAGAAATACTAGTCAAAATTATTAATGGCTAATAGTTTTGCATATATATTTTTAAAGAAATACCTAAATGTAAACATAAATTTTTGAAAGTTTTTCAGATGCTAAGAAATAACCAATATTAAAAGAGAATTTAATTAGTGACATAATCACACAACTTGTTGTGCAAAATAAAAGCTGTTTAGACTAATGAGTGGTCAACTCAGAGAATTTAACATTTCTTTTGCGAACATTCATTTTGCTGTAGATGTTTCTAGAAAGCTGATATATTCTGTCAAAAAAGCAGAACGCAGAATATGAGACAAAGTAATGAAAAACTTATTGCAGTAACTTAATAAGTTAACAGGGCTTTTTTTTTTCTTGTTCATATATAAAAATCTAAAGTGTTAATAAAATTTAGATTAAAGAATGTCATATACTCACTGCAGAGTCAGGGAGAAAAAGAGAGCCTCACAGAAATAAATATTCTGCTAAGTATAATATTCAAATAAGATTAAGGATTTAAATTTAAAAAAAAAAAATTATAATAGATTTAGTATGATTTTGTGCAGAAGAGCAGCATTGGTGCTCAGACTATGTGCTTTTAAAAAGCCTAAAGTGAAAGGGAAAAAAAGTTGTTTTTTTTCCCCACAATTAAAAAAAGGTGTTAGAACAAAAAATTTAAAAACCATAGTGACATACTGCAAAGAAAAAAATGGCTTGTGTGTGAAGGGAGGAGGGAGAGGAGAAGATAAAACAAGTTAAAAAAAAAAAAAAGGAAAAAAAAAAAAAAAAAAAAGGAAAAATTTTGTGAACAAAGAAACAACAAATAAGATATGATAAGAAATGAAAGAAAAGGTTGGTTGTTTTTACCTGTTGAAGATTCTATTAAACTGGTGAAGTTACCATAGGAGTCAGATCGGGTAAGTACATCCCCACCATCATCAACAGGCACCTTAACATAGGAGTCAAATCCACTGACTGAAAGAGCAAGAAGGTCATTAAATTATGATAAAGGTCAGCTAAGAATTTATGAATCACCAAATTTTTTTAATTTTTTTAATCATTTTACCCTATTCAAGGCAGTAATGCCACTAGTACGCAGGGAGTTACAGAGAGTGAAAGTGAGAGAAAAGACTGAGTCTAGGGAGGATTGAGGAAAGGACAAAAGGTGAACAGGATTCAAGAAGATAGAAGATGGCGATTGACATTGTATTTTAATTTTTAGAAGATTGTAGTTATCAGGTAAGCAAGTAAACAGAAAGAAGTTTCACAGGTGGGAAGTGTGAGAAAAGAAACCGTTGGAGTACAAGTGACAGTTGCAATTAGCTATTTCAACAGTAAACAGGTGGGACCTAGATGCCAATCTAGTAACTTGCTTGAATTCATGTAGTCTGAGAACCAGAGAAAAAGGCTCATCAAAGCAGTTGCCATTATTAAATAAATAAATGGAAAACCAATCATTTTGGCAATTATTAAATTATGGAAATGTGTGAGTGTGTCAATGTAAATTAGAAAATAAAACAGTATGGTGTTTATATATTAATATATGTGTGTGTGTGAGTGCATATATATATATATATATATATATATATATATATATATATATATAATGTAAATATTCTCATATGAAGTATATCTGCAGAAGAGACAAAATGAATTAAAAGATGAGGAAAACTATACTTAGTTTTTAGCCAACGTGTTTTGTCATCTAACATGCAAATGTGATGATTTTATTTTGCAACAAGTATATATTTGACAGTTACTCAAAATTTCTAAATTTAAGAACACTCATAAAGTTTCATCAAGTTAACTGAAAAGATTTGGTGTTGAAACCTAGATTATGTTATATAGCATCTTTGAAAGGAAATTTTAAAATTTAAAGACACCCATAAATATTCAATAGATTAATTGAAATGTATAGGTATTTAGATCTTAGATGACATCCTGTAGCATCTTCGAAAGAAAATTTTCAAATTCAAAGACGCCCATAAATATTCATCAGGTTGACTGAAATATGTAGACATTTAAGCCTAAGATTATGTCATTTAGTATACTCAAAAAAGAAATCTTTTTTTTTTTTTTGTATTATACATTTGTAGAAATTGAAATGATGGATTCAGCCATTTTACTTTGATTTTACAACACATTTGTTGTGCATGTTGGCTTAGAAAAGTAGTAATTCCTTCAGGAAATGTGAGATACAGAAAAACTGGGGCATAGATTGATATTTTGATAATATTTGATGGCTGTACTTTTGAGGAATTTCCTTCTGAGTAAATTACTTTCTCTTTTGATGAGTGTGGCATTTTTTAGATCAAAACTGTGATTGAATTTCTGTGTGTGTCTCTCTCTCTCTCAGGTTGAATAATCAAGACATATTATGTCTATTTATTTTTATTCTAATCCTCTAAAATTCAGATCAATTTCTTCACAGATCAGTGGGGATATATTAGAACTTATGAAGATGATCTTGGATGAGATTGAAAGTACTTGGGGAAAATAAAAGAAATAACCAAGGCTACAATGTCTTTCTTACTCAGTTTTGTAACAGCACTAAGAAATTGATCCATGAATTTGAGAGGATTAAAATAAAAATAGATAGACATAATGTCTATATTATTGAACCAAACATGCTTGAACGAATACATGCTACACACACACACACACACATATATATATATATCATATGTGTGGATGTGTAAAATGACCGGCTACTCATTTTTTGAGTACATCTGTTATGATGGCTAGCCAATCCCTGCTACATACACTTACTCAAGCACATTTGTGTTTGTTCAACACCCACAGAGTCCACCTGTGGTTTATACTGCAACTAAGCTAAGCAGAACTTGTTCTATTCATTTAGTGTTTCTCTCTGATGTTTCATACTAGCTCTATTTTACCCATTTAGTGTATCTCTTTAATTCTCTTTTGCCTCTTGTGCTCTTTCTCTCTTTCCTATTGCCCATTTAGCATCCCACTATGGTTCCATTTATGTATTTCATTTGTCATTCAACTTTGATTCATTTTCATCTTGTTTTCTATCTATATAAAGTACTTTCTGTTTTTGCTCATCCTTATCTACCTTTTATTTCCTATTGTACTTTAATCTTCTTGTAAATATTGTCTCTCCTGTTATTTTTTCTAGGTAACACCTGTGGTTCGAATGACCATGGATAGTTGGAGCATCTCTTTTGCTAAATACTTAGAGCTGCGATTCCACGCACATATGTACAAGAGAAGAGCAAGTGGTGAACCATGCACACATTCCTTGCATCATGATCATTTTCAGTATTTTGGTTATAGGGACATTGTTGCCTCTTTCAAGTAAGTCACTAGGAATTTATCTATAAAGATATTTGTGTTATTAATTTATCATTAGACCTCACTTAACCAGGTAGCAGTTATAAACATGAGGCAAGAATAGAGACAAAACAAATTATATCCTGTTGAGTTGCAATATTATCATTTTCTTAGTACAAGTTTACAAAGATGCATTAAGAGCTCCCACCTCCAATATACTTGCAAAACAATACATATGTATTTCTATCTTTTAAATGAAATGTAGAATTCATTAATAATTTTAGTCATCTATGAAGTAATCTTTCCTTATAGATATATTATTAATCCTTAATAAAATATGATACACCTTAAAAAATGATTTTTGCATACCTGCTTGTTACATTTTCTGAGACTGATTGCATGATCAGTAGTTCAAAAAATGCTAGTATGCTTAAACCCTCAGTCACAAAAACTGGGATGTTATACTACCAATCAAGCATTTCCATCTACCCAACTTCACTCACATGGCATGGATCAGCCTGTGGTAGGGTTTTCAGGCACTTTCCTAAAGGTGCTCCATATTGGGATTGCTTCCCCAGACTGATAACATCAAGAATTTCCCTTCCTGATGAATCAAACGTGGTAAGATACAGACCTGGGTCTCAAGTACACAGTGTAAATATTCCATTTTTCTGGATCTTATTAAAAATGTACCAAGCATGTGCATTAGTAAAAGTTTCATGGTAATAAACCAATCATCAGATGTTCAGAATATACTAACACACAAAGTTTATTTGTAGGATTATCTTTCCTTACAAATTATCCAAGCCCCATAGTTGTGCATTTTGACTTAGTGTGTCATCTCCTAGTCATAAGGTCTGCATATATGATACAGCATAATATTTGTATAAATTTTTTTTACTACTTTATTTAGATATTCAGTTTCTATGGTGTGTGTGCATATGTATATATTATTAAAAATTTACTAATTTAAAAATATGGTTCCATCGGTACACAGGAATTACCATGTTTCAAAAACCAGGTTTATAAGTACATACAATCTTGATATTATTAGTTATCAAGGTTACGGAAAATTTAATCATTATTAATATGGGGCGGTAAGGTATTCATTTCCATCGACAACCTTTGTGGTTCTACAGAAGGATACTGAGAATTCAACGAATGGGGCAAGTAAACAGCAAGGAAGTTTTAAAAACAACAAAAAGAGCCCTTACACTCAGAATAAGAAAAATACAGATGAAATTTCTTGGACACATAACGAGGGAGGAGGGCTTGGAAAACTTAACCTACAGAAGAAGAGAGATTGGGGAAGACAGTGGGCCACTTACCTGACAAGCTTGTATGAATGGATGGTGGAATGGAAGGTTTGGCACAGAGAGAAATGCTAGTTAGGGTCACAAGAGAGCAATGATTACCCATGTCCTGAAGGGATATAGTACATGAAAGGAGAATTATTTGCTTAATTTCTGAAAGGCACTTTCAATATTCCTATGTGGCTTTGGATTTCTGTGTCACATTTTCAATTGTGTACGAAAAAGGTGAAGTGCTGTGGAGCCATGAGTCCATATATATGTGAGCTCCTAATCTACTTTAAACTCAACCTTGTGTTACACTCTACCTGAGTAAGTGTGTTGTAAAATACCTACTACTGTACCTTAATAATTACATTTCAGCACTTGCTAGATTTTGACATCCCCATTATATATAGTTTCAAACTTTGCCTGTCAACCATGCATTCCATCTTCTAACAGCTAATAGTTAGTATTTTTTCTTGGTTTTCTTGACTATTTTTTTGGCCCAAATATAAAATGTGCTATTTTACAACTTCTACAATAAGAATAAATTGGAACAAAATAATCTTGCCAGAGAAAATTATTTGAAAATGAGTAAGTATGCTGTAGCAAATAAGCACTGTACTGAGTAGAAATACTGAAGGAAATCATCTTGCAGGCAGTTGTATTTGGTACACAAGATTATATTGCTGAAGAGTTCTTTCAATTTTCAGGAAAAAATCTATGCGTATATAGTGAATCTGAAGAGAATCAAGTGAGTATATGTGTATACATACAAGTGTTTTCATGAGAGGGAAATAGTGGAAAAGGTAATGGCGCCCAATTGTTAAGACAAGCTTATGCACATAGAACAGCTAAAAAGAGGTTCTGAACTATCAAGTGATTTTTCTTTTTGATAGCTGCTAAAAGATTTGTGGGCAGGTGCCTATACTTAGAAAAGTTATTTCTTTGACTAACTCAGCCTTTATATTTTGTCAGATTGCCCTTCCCAGCATTTGTTTTCAGAAGAACTGGATGCAGAAAACAATTTTAGACACATGAGGGTGGTAGGAATACATGTTGAGTCATAGAAAAAAAAATCCAACGCTTACTGAGCCAATAGACAATTCTGACACATGGTGTTAAATTGCAAAAGAAAAAATGAATTTTTAAAATCTGGCAAAATAAGCACAAAATCACACCATTAGAATATACTATGAGATTTTATATATATATATATATATATATATATATATGTGTGTGTGTGTGTGTGTGTGTGTGTTTGTGTTTAGAATTTGGTATATTTATAGAGGAAGAGAGAGTGAAATCAGAGATAGAGCATTTATAGATATGGACAGTGTTGACATAGAAATCAATACAGTAGGGGGGACAGTTTCACACTAAAATGTAATCTTCAGATCAAGAATTGGAGTATGAGACTGACAGTCACCAAACAGTGTTGCTTCCTATATCTATCTGACTTTCTTTCTCTTTAGTACGAGACTAAAACATGACTATCTCAGACACACTTATCCCCTCATGACCACTGAATAGGAAAATATATTATAGGTAATTAAATTATTATTACATATCAAAATAATAAAAAAATATGAAAATAACTAATATTTAAGCTGGATTTTATTTCTTAAATATGACATGCCAATGTAGAGACCATAAAATATGGTAAAGAGAGAAGACAAGTAAAAATTGAATGCATAAGTTTGAATATTTGCATGAAGGAGTAAACATTCATCAGAGAAAGTGTTCAATAATATGTTTAAAACAAATATTTATAATTCCAGAAGCAAATCTAAAGAAAGAAAATAGATATCTTGCACTGAATAGAGGAACAGTTTGTATTTTGAAAATGGAACTATTATATAAAGAATGTAAAAGCATTGCTCATGATTTGACTATAGAAATGCTTTGAAAATGAGGAAGAAAGAGAACATCATGATTAGGAATTAAGGTGAGTATTACTGACAGAATAGAGTTGTTATCGTCTGGAATTGAAATTAGTTTTATTCACAATAGTAATGGTAAAGTTTCTGCTTCAAATGAAGATATCTACAACACAATATACATGTAACATTTCTCTATGTGATCAGAAAAGCCAACTGCTCATTTCTATATAATGGACTCTCTTGATTACAGAGTGGAAATTCTATTTCCAGTTATTTTATTCTTGACAAAGAAAACCCCATACTTTATTTATTTTTAGCTTACATATATAGGCATTGTTTTTAGCCCAATCAAGAAGCTCTTTTAAAACAAATTGGTTTGGTTTGGTTTGTTTTACAGCATTTCAACCTCAGTGGGTTATTTAATGCCAACAAAATTTTTATTGCTGGTAATAATTTTTTTTCAAAAATATATTACTGGTAATAATGTATTGTTGGTAATTTTTTTATGAAGAAATATACTTTTATGTAAATATAAATGTGGACCTTGAAGCCAACACTCAGAGGCGACAGACTGTTTCATGCTAGATGCAATTGTCAGGCCGCAAGTGTTGGTGTTTTTGTTTTTTCTCAACTAAATAAGTAAATAAACAATCCACTCCTGCCAAAATCAGTGCCAAAATGGACTACCCACAATGCACCACTGAACCATTTATATAAATAGTTGAGGAAAAAAACAACACTTGCGGCCTGATGATTGCATCAAGCATGAAACAGCCTGTTGCCTCTGAGTGTTGACTTCAATATCCACTTTTTTATATATATATATATATATATATATATATATATATATCACACACACACAATCTACAAATTTCCTAACTTATATGGAATAACTTATGCTATTTGTATTTTTGTCATGTATAACAAACCTAAGCTATGAAAGCTACTTAATTTAATTATTGTGAGAGAATACAGTAAAACTGTCACTAATTCAACACATCTTAAGAGTGTTGTATCATCCTAATTGTAAGTCATATAGAACAACAACTGTCATGAGTTATGTTGAGATGACAATATGAAAAACACAATAGTTCCAATGGTTATTCTCATGATAAATATTGTTTCCTACCACATCTAAAATATAATGAAATTGAATATTTTACATTTAAAATAGTCAAATTAAAATTATATACATACCGTGAACACACCAACAAAAATGACAATATTTGGTGGAAATTAATTTAATATTATAAGACTTAAAATGAATATCAGCATCATTAAGAAATTATTTTCTTCCTAAAATACATTTAAAATAACTAAATAACTTATGAGGACAAATATTCAAATATACAAAATTTGGGGGAGAAAAAATAAGAGAATAAAAAGATACCAAACAGAAAATTGTTTACAATGAAAACTATAAAAGATGATTTTTTTTCAACACAATGAAGTGCCATTTTGTAATCCTAAAGAATAGATTCATACTATGCTCATTTTAGATTTCTTATAGAAATATGTGTGTGTATATATTTGTTTACAAATATATACACTCATGCATAATTCTGTTCCCAAAACACAATATGTTTCATATAAAAAAACATTTGAAAGAAAAAAAGAAATAGGATGATTTGGTTGAAAATACATTTTATGAATTGGTTTTGACTAATTAAATAAGAACTGATTGACAAAACAGTATTTATGAGGATTAATATTTGAGTAAAATTTACAGAAAATAGTATAATTTCTTGGGATACCACAGACTTTTCTATGCCTTACAGAAAGAGCGAAGAAAGAAAGAGAAAGAAAGAAAGAAAGAAAGAAAGGAAGAAAGAAAGGAAGAAAGAAAGAAAGAAAGAAAGGAAGAAAGAAAGGAAGAACGAAAGGAAAGAAAGAAAGAAAGAAAGAAAGAAAGAAAGAAAGAAAGAAAGAAAGAGAAAGAAAGAGAAAGAAAGAAAGAGAAAGAAAGAAAGAAAAAGAGAAAGAGAAAGAAAGAAAGAAAGAAAGGATGGATGAAAGAGAAAGGAAGGAAGGACAAAAGAGAAAGAAAGAAAGAAATAAAGAACAAAAGAGTAAAAAAGAAAGAAAGGATGAAAGGACGAAAGCGAAAGAAAGAAAGGATGAAAGCGAAAGAAAGAAAGAAAGAAAGGACAAAAGAGAAATAAAGAAAGGAAGGACAAAAGAGAAATAAAGAAAGGAAGGACAAAAGAGAAATAAAGAAAGGAAGGACAAAAGAGAAATAAAGAAAGGAAGGACAAAAGAGAAATAAAGAAAGGAAGGACAAAAGAGAAATAAAGAAAGGAAGGACAAAAGAGAAATAAAGAAAGGAAGGACAAAAGAGAAAGAAAGAAAGGAAGGATAAAAGAGAAAGAAAGAAAGGACAAAAGAAAGAAAGGAAGGACAAAAGAAAGAAAGGAAGGACAAAAGAAAGAAAGGAAGGACAAAAGAAAGAAAGGAAGGACAAAAGAGAAAAAAGATGGATGAATGGAAGGACGGAAGAGGACGAAAGAGAAAGGAAGGAAGGACGTAAAAGGAAAGAAGGATGAAAGAGAAAGGAAAGATGAAAGAGCAAGGAAGGACGAAAGAGGAAGGAAGAAATGAAGGACGGAAGAGAAAGGAAGGAATAAAGGACAGAAGAGAAAGGAAGGAATAAAGGACAGAAGAGAAAGGAAGGACGGAAGAGAAAGGAAGGAAGGAAGGAAGGACGGAAGAGAACGGAAGGAAGGAAGAGAACGGAAGAGAAAGGAAGGACGGAAGAGAAAGGAAGAAAGAGAGTGTAATCCATTAAAGACATAATATTAATAAAAAAAAATTAAATTTACTAAAATCACATGACGGTTGTGTTAGGAATCAGTGACAAATAGTAATATAGTAACATGACCAAATCTAATTAACAATATAATGAATGAATTAAATCTACACAATAATTAAGTATGAAACCAAATCAGATATTTATTCTCGGCCTGTATATATTTACTGAGATTGACAAGAACATCTATTTTGAATCTTTCACAATACTTAAGTACAACTACATTGCAGATGAAAGGAATTATGAATATAGCACAAGGTGCCTTTTTTTCTTTTTTTAGAAAATCCTTGTAGCCTCCTCTTATGATATTTCTGTTTTCATTAAAGAGATTGTTCACCAAAAAGCATACACATGAACACACATATCCATGAGAATACTAAAAAATCCTTGACCCATCAAAGAATACATTTTAAAAATTCTGATTTTTTGGTCATTTGATCAGATTTTGGGAAATATGGGTATGGCTGATAACTTTTCAGCATTCCCTCTCTTTCATTTATAGGCCATAGTCAGGATCATTGAGTCAATATGATCATTTCATTAGCAGCATAGTCTATGCTTTGCCAGGGCTACATACATTCCTTTTCCTAGACCAGTTGCTACCCAAGGCTATAGAACCCAGTCTGTCATATATATATATATATATATATATATATATATAGATAGATAGATAGATAGATACATGCATACATACATACATAAGTATAAGATTGGTGTATACAGAATAGATTCCAATAACCAAAAATACTATCATTTTTAAAAGAGTGCTCAATACAGAGTAGAACAAATATAATTTATTTGAAAATTATAACATAAATATGTTATAAAATCACTACAAAAATAGCCATTTTGTTTCAACACTAAAATAGAAATCATTCTAACTGATTAATATTATCTAGATTAATATTAATATTAAAATTTAATATTAGTTAGAATGATTTCTATTTTAGTGAAACCCTAACATTAAGGCATTTATAATTATAACCGTAGTTCGTTGTCAAGTTTTTTGAATTTTGATATACTTGTATTTTGATTGGTCATTGCAGCTTATGTAACAGTGTTTCCCCTATCAAGGAGGTTTTGTTTGATTTGAACCTTTTAAAACTCTTTATTCTACATTCAACACCATCACTTGATAAGACACCAGAAGTGTTGAAACAAAATGACTATTTTTGTAGTGATTTTGTAATATATTTGTTATAATTTTTGAATAATATATATATATATATATATATATATATATATATATAAAATCAGAAATAATACTGACTGTAAATTTATTAATCCATATAATCTATCATATCCGTAGTCCTGACAAGTTAGAAATCATGAAACTCAGAGTTGACATCTGTTGAATTATATAATTTTAAATTTATATTGATCATTTTGTATATATAACAAAAAAGAATTTTAGAATATGCTATATTTATGGGGTGTAAAGTGGTGATATCTGATATAAAGCATATGTTAATATAAACAGTGTCAACACAGGGATCAACACTGAATGGTGACAGTGGGATGGTTAATGGCTTGAGCAATCCACATGGCTTCTAAAGATGAAAGACTGTTTCCATACTGTTCGTGCCAAAATAGATATGGAATGATTAGAGTGAATGAAAGTTTTGCTTTGTTTAATACTTTCTATCCATGACATCACAGACTACATAAAAGAGATAATAAATAAATAATTGCATTTGGTAAATTGAAATGGTACCTCATTAGCTGCATTTTGAATTAACAGTGTTAAAGTTTGAAAGGAAGAAAAATAATCAGGACATTTTATGATGAGTAAAAAAAAAATTTGGAAGATGAAGATGGAAAGATAAATTTGAACAGATAACAGTTGTAAGATTTTCAAATGAGGGCTTAGCACAGACTGGAAGAGTTGGGTTTTTTTTTTCATTTTTTTTAAAGAGAAAGCTAGAGAAATGGCAAAGATGGATAGGAAAATAAATTCTTAGCATTAAAGAAAAGAATTTTGTCAAAAACGGTTAGGCAACACACAGATTTGGGGAACCAGAAGGAATTAAGAGATTTAAGAGTAGAGGCTTGGTATCCGTAGTATGACTGTGGAAAGCAAGGCAAGGAAAATTTAATAGGAGTGGCTAATAATGATGGGGGTGAGGAAACTTATAGCTTTACCTCTGAGAGGAAGCAAAACCTTTGAAGGTGGTAAGATCAATGAAATGCAAGAATTCAGTGCTTCTCTGTCATTTTTCTCAAACAGGAAGAACATAGCAAAGGTATATTTTATCTATACTGATAAGGACTACTTGAAATTTCCTAAGCAGACTGTACATTCATAACAGTGTTAAAATGAGTGTAACTCCGAGCTTGTAAATGAACTACTTATTGTAGCCTAAAATGATTTGTCTTACGAGATTGACAACAGAGAATAATATATTTTTGCTTCTACTGATTGGGTAGGAATTGTGGATAAGGGACAGTGGTTTTCTCAGGTGCTCACTCACCCACTCTTTTCTATCAACTATTGTGATATGTGTTGTGAAGGAAGAAAACGGGTTGTAATATATAAGGTTGAAGTTGAGATCTTTCAAAGAAATCATATTCAACATTTTCAGAAGGACTAAATTTCAACACATGGAGGAATTTAACATAAATCAAGAACTATTTAATAATGACAAGTTTTTTTTTTCAACCATTTTTACAGTGTCACAACTCCTATGTTTTGTCTTGCAAATTTCTGATATTAATTATTAATTAGAATTGGTTGTTATATTAGTATAGTATATATTCTGAGAAATATTTAAAATTGATGAGTATATGAATAATTTTATTATTGACTGTATATACACTCACAGTTATGGATAGAATTATTCACCCACCTTCCATAATTGAAAATTATCTCAAATTTTCATGGAAACTTCATTTAAATTTTTTCACAAATGATGAAATAATTGATTTGAAAGAATGTGCAGTGATGCTCACAACAATTTTTTTTTTAATGTCAAACAATGATACCAAAAAAAAAACATTTAACATAAGGCAAAATTATTGGCCCTCTTGCCTCAATAATCAACTGTGTAATCTTTATTCTTAATTATTGCCTTTAATCATTTTTGATTGTTCCTTATAATATCACTACACACACTGTAGCTATTTTACTCTATTCTTCCTTGGCAATAGTTTTTAGTTCTTTCAAATTTGAAAAACTTCTTTCTTTTACTTTTTTTTTTTCAAATATGCCCATAAATTTTCAATGGAGTTTACGTCAGAATTTTCTGTGGGGTGTGCCAATATCTTAATTTTGCTGACATCTAAGTATTTTGTAACAATTTGTGCCATGTGTTTGGGGTCATTGTCATGTTGGAACATCCAATGAGGCTCCAAAGACAGCTTTTCTGCACTTTGGTTTATATTATTTTTAAGAATAGCCAAATACTGTTCTTTATCAATGATACCCTGTTCTCTCACTAGTTCTCCTGGTACAGAAGCAGCAGAACATTCCCAGAACAGAATGCTTCCATGACCGTGCTTAATTGTAGGGAGGATATTTTTTGTCTTGTGAGCTTCATTCACTTTCCTCCATATATAACAGGAGTTCATGTGACAAAGTAATTCTAATTTGGTTTCATCTGGCCATAAAACAGAGTTCCAATATTTATTCCCATGTTCTAGATGGCTTCTAGCATAAGCTAATCTGTATTATGTAGCCTAATGCAAGTGAGTTTTCCTTGGGCAACAAGCTCAGAGTCCTGCTTGATGAAAGCATCTAGTGACTGTCTTTGTTGATACATCCATTCCTAATGTCTTTATATCATTGACAATGTCCTTTGTCATTAATTATGGGTACTTCGAGATATCTCTAACAATTTTCCTTTCCATTCATTCAGAAATTAACCATTTTCTGTCAGTCCTTAACTTATTCTCAACACAATGAATCTTGTTGTACTTCTTGATAATGCTATAAATTGTCGATCTGGGAACATTTAAATGATTAGAAAGTGTTGTATATCCATCACCTTGTTTGTACGCATCAACTATCTTCATTTGGAGCTTCTTGTCAAGTTCAGCCACCTTTGCTATGGGTGCAGAATGAATGAGTTATCACGGTATGTAGGACTCGCATATTGTCTTCTTCATTACCTTTAAGAATGTTATAGAATCAAGTCAATAATATTTCATTTTCAAAGGCTGGTTGTATTAAATGTCAAATTAAGAAAAATACATTCCATTTTCCATAGAGCAATATTATTTCATAAATTCCATAAGGGCGCAGATAATTTTGAACTGCACCAATTTTTAGAAAAATCCATAACTATGTATAGATTGAAATATAAAAATTTCATAAATTATTCAAATTTAAATATGGAATCAACTATTTATGGTAAATTCAGTAAGTACTTGCAAGTATTTGCATTTCCTTAGAAAATATGCAAATATTCAGTGGAAGGCAAATAATTCTGTCTACAACTCTGTGAGCACACTAACACACACACACACACACACATATATATATATATATATATATATATATATATATATATATATATATTCAAGACAGACCTTCACAACCTGGACACTCCATAACACAGAGTTTACTCATCTGCATTCTGTTCATATTCAACTGATAAGGAGGAAGTTCCACTCAGACAACTTATTCCTCAGAACTGTTACATTGTAAATCAGACTCTCAAAATGAAGCTTCCCTGATCATAACAATCTTAATCTCATATCTATCCTCAAAATATGCACCTTACTCCCTCATTGTATGTCCTTACAACTTAATCATTCAGTAACCATCCACCCTGAGTGGTTCTTGTACCATTTATTGGGCGAATTATAGCATAAAAAAAAAAAAAAAATGAAATATCAGCTTTATAAACTCGTACTTAAAGGTATTTCTAACCAATGTAAATATATAACAGCTCACAATAAATCCTTTGCAACATTGTTATTATGTGTTGGGAATGTTGATTAGTTTAATCTAGACTGCAGAGTATCCAATCAAAACCAAAATTATG